GGATTACATTTTTAATTTTTCTCCGATATCCGATCCAGTAATTTAGGTCAGTATCGGACCGATACCGATACGTAATATCGGATCGGTCCATCTCTAGTTCATATTTGCATTTTCTGTGTCAAATTACTTAACACTAGATAGATTTTTTTGTTTGTTGCTGAGCAGGCTAACAGTAATGCAAATTGCTGAGTGTTCTCCAGTCAGCTTTGGGGCAATCACACTCACCATAATTTGTATTTCAAGTTTGCAGATCTTCAAATCGTGTTCGTTGTTGACATACATTCTTTTTAGTGCACATCGTGCACCTTGATGAGTCCTCACCAAAAAGACTATGGCAAAACCTCCTACAAAGAGAAGAACAGGGAGAATGGACAAATTGAAATGCAGAAATAGAAAAACCACCATAGTTATGTCTCTTGCATTTTTTGCCACCATGTACAGTCCAATTCTAAGTGGCACAGGAATTGGTGCTAAAACCCAGGGCGTTCTTTCTGTGACACAACAGTGCTAAGCATACTGCCTTCCTCAGTCTGCTTTGAGTTTATTTCTCAGGACAGTGACCATCTGTTGACAGTGAGTTGATTTTTACTGAGGAAAAAAGACAACCATGGCAGATCAAATAATCATAACCTAAACTACAAGGAGCCTGATAAAGTCACAATAAAAATAAAATCTATCAAACATGTGCAACGAATCGTTTTATCCAGTTTAAAGCACTGGTGTCAAACAGCCCTGCAGCAGGGTATAATTCAACCCTGTTGGATGGCCTGGGTTTAGCATAAACACTGTGTGGTGAGTTAGCTGGCTGGCACAATAGTCACAAGACCTTGAAACAAAACTGTGTGAGTAAGCAGCTGTGCCAAAAAGATGCAAGAAGACAAAACTGACACGACATAGGAAGTGAGAGAATATATCATCCCACGTTTAGTCACAATGATGACAGTGACAACCATAGCAACTAAAACCACCAGGAATCATACCACACTAATAAATAAAGCACAAACTGAGTATCTCTCAGCAGATATCTGGATATTTTAGATTCAATTATCATTGTTATTATTATTATTCTACTACTATCAGCATTACTCAATACGAGCTGCATTGTTAAAGACGTTCATAGAGTACAGCAAGATTTTTTTAACAGGAAACCACACTAAATATGAAATCATGTGGGCTTCAGTCCTCCATCCTGTGTGGGTCAACATGAATGAGGAAACTTAGTAATTTTACTGTTGTCAACATGAATTAAATGACTTGAAGTTTCACAATGAAGTGCTAAATTCTCTGCATATAAGAAAAAGGAGCTGGCAGAGCACATTGCTCAGTAATTAGTGTTATGACATGAAAAGCAATTGCTTGGATGAGATATGAAGTTTAATTAAGAGCTGAGGCCTGTATTGAATCAGAATAAAGAGCAGAGGCTAGGCGGGCACGTGTGTGTATAGCCCAGCAGAGCAGAGGCATCTGATCCACTGCTGTCTTGCACAGTCTAATCTGAGATGCCTGTTAGAAATTAGAAGGATTAGCGGCCGTCTTAAGCAACATTTAGCAGTGGTCTACTGTCTCAGGAGACGGGGTGACTAAATAAGTCCAGCTAAAAATACCCACTACTCCTTGACGTAAAATGATTATAACACAGTTGTAAATGCACACAAAAATAAACCTTTGGGCTCTGCAATGAAAAGTGTCACCAATGCTTGTAATGCTCAGTTACAATCTGTCAGTGTAATGGAACTTGCATAATAAGCATCTAGGCTTTGGACTAAGACACAGCACATGCCCTCACCACTACGATGCTGTTTACAAACATATGCACAACACTGCAGTGACAGGGAGAAAAACCAGAGATCGTCTCAAGAGAAAGTGGCATAAACTATCTAATCTGACTTAGAAAAGTTTTTTTCCCCCTCTGTTAGAAAATGTGATAATTATGGTATACAAAAAGGGAATGACTCGCACATTAATGACAGCAGGATCTGGGGGCACTAATGTTACCAGCAGTAACTCTATACATCAATACAAAACAACACTTCCTGCTGACCGTAAAGGGAGAGAGCTGTGTGTCAGGAAATCCAGAGGTAAGTCAGTAATAAATCACAGATTTACCCAAGACCTAAAGCTAAAAAAAGATAACACTGTTCAAAGCGTGCACCTCCAAACCAAAGTTACAAAAGAAAAAAAGTTACAAAAGCAGCACAGTGCGCCGCCCTCACTGCTTTAGTCAGCACAGGGTAAAGTGTGTTGCCACAAAGTTCAAGAGTGACAACAAAGGGAGTTGGAGTAAGAGGAGGAAAAAATAATTAACTACATGACGCAGCCAGATAACAGTGACTGCAGGCCCAGACTTCAATGAAAAGCATCTGAATAAACAGGTGTATTGCCAGTAGCTGTACTCGAATTACAAAGAGCAGCTCTACTACCAGATCAAAATGCAGTGAAAGGAAAAAAAAAAAAAATAAATAAAACCTTGCATCTTGGGGAAGCTGTATATATAATTATGGTGATGCCATTTAGTAGGCCTAAGAATTACACACCTGAATTGTGCTTTTCTAAAGTTACTATCTGCAGCAAGGCCAAACTGAGCTCACAGAAACAAAGGAATTCCCTAACATCCCAGTACAGGGCGGGTCTGAAGTTTGCTGTGGAACTCATTCATAAAGCCAGTGTGCGGCCAAACACATGGTTCCCATCTATAGTACTGATAAATTAATCAGACTTTTTTCATCTATTATTTAGTAACAGGCCCTCTTAGCTAACAGAGGACATCAGACTCTCATTGCAAAGACAAATGACCACAGGGAAAAGGTTTACCTCTTTCACAATATCCGTTTAGCTTGTTCTAATAGAAATGACCTAAAAAAGGTGCAATCAGTCCTCACCACACTAAGTTAAGTATTTGGATTAACAAATGACCATGCAAGAATATTTTCACCTGGAAAAGTTTGTGTGAAGTTATGTTTGAGTTTCAGCTTACTGTAAGGTCACATTCTATGTGCCAACACATCCTAACCAACAACTTCCAGTTAATTTTAACTTGTGCAGTCTACATCTGCCAGTCCCTCTGTAAATATCCATACAGGTGACTCAGCATGGGGTTGGCCCCTTACAGCACAGCAGGAAATCCAGTTTTGCTATGTTCCTCCCAGCCTTCAAGTAAAGAGTGTAGTAATGCAAGGATAATACACACTGAGAGATGTAGAGCCCATCATCTTTACATCTTAAAATTTCAGCCTAGTCTGTCTTCCTCCTAATCTGCCTGTTGTTATTATTATTGTTATTATTAATAATAAACAGATAAGACAGGTTTGGGCAACCTGGCAGTAAACAGGCATGTGTAATGTGTAACCTCTAAACCCTGACCAGTAAATATTCATTAACCAATGCCATTTCCACTTAGTAATGTATAGCAAACATGATAGCTTATCATTGTGTTAGTAACATTACTCTGACTGGGCCAAAAACAAAACAAAAACAGGCCCAATCGTTTAAATGAAGGCGTCCAAATCACAATTAAAGTGTTTGTAGTAATCCACACAAGGGAACGCCACGTAGTTCACCTTCAGCGATTGTTTCCTCCACGGTTACTTGATATCTTCCAATGCTGAAGACTCGTCCGATGAAGCTCCCACCGCCGCCGGAACCAGCGCCTCCTCCACCGGCTCCAGGACCAGGCCCGGAGCCCCCAAACTCCCGACGGGAATCAAAAAATTTCTTCATTTTCCCTTGACACTGCCCAAAGCAGGACCGAGTCCAAAAATGTATAAATGTCGCGACAACGACAGTAGTTGGACAGAGTCAGTCGCTGAGGTGCTGGCGTTAACGCTTCAACAGCTGAATGAATGCTGCTAGCTGGCTTCAAGCTAAAAGCTAGAGAAACTAGCTGGACCTTAAAATATCCCGAACACTGCTGCCTGATGCTGTTCAGCTAACTCATGGTTTGAACAGCAGGCGGAGTCAAATAATGCAGAGAAGCCGCTTTCCACTCTATACCAAAATCAGTACTAGCTACACAATGAGCCGGACTATGAGCCCGAAAAACCCAGTCAGCTCACCTAGCTAGCTAGTCAGCTAGCTAAGCAGCCAGGTGCCAGCTGTCAGTCAACAGACTAGCAGCCAGGTAGATTCCTGATATCAAGTCCAGGTCGTTACACATCTCGGTCGATATTCTCCCGAGCGAAATGTTAGTCCACTTGCTGCCTTATACCTCTGTATCGTTGAGAAAATTTCAGCTCTTTACTGTTTGTATTCGTGCTGCAGGTTAGAATAAGCCTAGTCAACTAGGTTAACTTAATGACAGAGCTAACACAGCCACCAGTACACGCTAATGGCAGAAGTCCTCCCCATCTCCCCTGAATCCTGCTGGACTGCTCCTCGTGTGATTGGTCAAATCAACAGCGACTTCCTGTTAGTGCACCCTGCTTGTCCCTGAGCTGTGGATTGTCAACATAAATAAAGTGAGTTTTGTTTTTTCATCAGTCTAATTTACTAATAACAGGAAAATAAAAGGAAACCAATTTAATCTTTAATCTCAAATTTGTGAACAAAGACGAGGAAATATCTACAGAAGGGGATCCCCACAGAATTCATACGTGATTTCTGTTCCAAACTTCTGAACATATTAGATATAAAGGTGAAAGATATGGAGCTATAACAATAATAATAATGATAATAATAAAATGTATTATACATATCCTCCTGAGAACCGAGGAAAAAATATTTTTTGTGTGTGTGATTTTCTTGGTCTTTGGAGCTAAAAGAGGCCACCCAAACACACGAGATATCAATGGAAAGCCCATGAGGCACTCTATTTAGTACCACAGGACTAGGTAAGGTAGCTCAAATAAGTAAAAAGATATACACCAAAAGCAAATGTCCATTCCAGATAACATAAATGAATAGGATAGTTCTCGATATTTAAATACAAAAACCAAAGTGAAACAAGCAAACCCACAGTAACTAAACTAAAATAAACTGAGAACAAAACATCAAGTCAGTAAAACAAACAATAAAGTTGGCCAGTTCAAACATCCATGATAATCTTACATTTTTAAACACAGATATTATGTTAGAGTTTTATAATAAAGATTCATAATTACAAACACATAAAGTCACTTAAATTCAATTCACTTTGGTTTTATTTATTATATAGCACCAAATCACAGAAACAGTTGCCTCAACTGTTGCCTCAACCTTACATTCCTTATAATGTAAGGACAATTACAATAACATAGAGAAACACCCAATAATCAGATGACCCCCCTATGAGCACTTGGAGACAGTGGGAGGGAAAACAGCAACTTGTTGGGATGAGGGGAGGGAGAGAGGACAAAAGACACACTAAAGAGAGCCAGATATTAATATGAATTTCATTAATGATCAAATGTAGAGAGGTGTGTAAACACATAGAGAATGAAGAAAAAAGTCCCACGACATGGTAAGGAAAACACACCAACTGCGCTGAAAACTGTAATAGTTATGCATCTGTTTAAATGCTGCTGTGACATGCCATATTTACCATCCATTTGTTACCACAGCACCAGACGTAATTATAACAAAGAGTTGACGCCAGTCCACTTCAGCACTTCTCCATGAGTGAATTGTCTTTACTGATATTTGTTGACATTTTAAGTTATGGCCAACTATTCTAAACTTTGTGTTTTTAATCTGTGTTTTTCACTGCCATAGGAAATTGTTAAATAAATCCTATTCTTGCCTGCTTGAAGTTAAACACATTCATATTCTTAGTTGCATTCTTGTTTCAGGCCAATGCAATATCGAAATGGTCAGTTTTAATACTGTCATCTGAAATTCAAAAGGTGAGATTAAATTTTATTTATAGCTCAAGTTTCGAAGACTGATCTGAGGTCTTGGCTGCTCGTGTGAGTGAAATACTTTTTCCCGCAGGGGGCGCTGTTTCATCACAAAATAAATATGGACTTGTAGACTTCTTCCCCCTATCTCAAGGACCATATTTCCCTTACCTTGATGGAAGGTTTGTGTGTGTGTGTGTGTGTGTGTGTGTGTGTGTGTGTGTGTGTGTGTGTGTGTGTGTGTGTGTGTGAAAAAATTGGAGCCAAACTTTTAAACAGGAGCCACTTTTCTTATTTATATGTAAATTCCTGAAAGACAGTCAAACTCAAAGTGTTTGCAGCATAGATCCAAAATCCACTCTTTGTTTGTCATTCACACTGTAAATAATATAAATATATAATGCATTATGGAAAAGTTCAACATATATTTCCATTCATATCATTTTCTCACAGCTCCCTACTTATGTACTGTATTTGGACATGCATGATAACTTGTTTACAGAATATAGGACATTCATTTGAGTGCAGCTATTATCTTGGAATAAATGTAGCTACACATTTAAACATGTGGTGACCATTTTGCTAAAATAATTGAGCCATTAAGCTGTTTCAGCTGCAGAGTTGTTAGTGCTCCAGTGATAAATGACAAAGCTCTGATGCATTCTTTCCTCTGTGATCATCTACAATATGTTGGATCTCAGCTGACCGAATAGCTAAAGGTAAACAGACTTTGTTCTCATTTTGTGTGGTCCCCCGAGAACCAAAACATCCTTACAATTTGGCGTCTGGACTCAGATAATGTGAAAAGGCGAGGTCAGAAAAGCAAACATAATTTATGTGTACCAACAAGTATTAGAATAGAGCTGAATGGTGCCTGTGACCGGAGCGGAGCTGCAGTTACATCATTAGAGGAGTTGTATCTGCCACGTTGAGAGAAAAAAAAAATCTGAGCTCTCATAGGCTAGAAAACCTGCCAACCGTAGATCTTTCTTCTCCATGTGTGAAATTGCCAAAACAAAATACCAGGTTTGAATTCTTGGAGATCAAAGGGATATAAATATAAACCTTTTATTAATAGTTTTTCCTGTGGATCACCTTTTTCTAGAGTAATTTTAAAATAAGCAGAATGGAAGCAAAGATTAATTCTGCGCTTTTACCTCCGCCTTATCTCACTGCCTTCCCCCAATCCTCTCAGATGAAATTTATTAAAAGATCAATCCCAGCATATTACTTTTTTTTTTTTTTTTGCTTGAAAGTATCTCCTACACACATACACACACACAAACACACACATGTGTCGTGTACAAATTGCTATACTAATTAGAGCTGGACAATTCGATATTGTGTATCAGTCTGATACTGACATAAATTACTGGATCAGATATCGGAGAGAAATAAAAAATGTCATCCGATCCATTAAATATCAAAAAAGCACCTCACAAAACTTGGAACATGGCATAACTCGGCTCATAGCCGCTCTATCACGTTGCAGCAGTATGCATCACGTGATAGAGCGGCTGTGTGTATTTGTAGCCTCTCTACCAATCTGGCATTTCATCTCCCCCAGAGAGAAGTAAAGCAAGTGTGTAAGTTCATCTCTGAATGTTTGTAAAGCATTCCCGCGTTAAGCTTAACAACCAATACATGGAGCGACTGCCTCTCTCCCTCCCTCTCCTGCTGCTACTTCAATCCTGGAACTGATCAATGATCAGCTGATCGGCTTTTGTGTTGCGAGTCCGTCTCTCTTGTTTGTTTATTGCCCACTTCGCGCCAGAAAGAGGAAACCAGCAGCTGAACAACAGCAGCACGTTTAAGCTTGATAAGCTGTTGTTAGAATTTATTTAATATTACTTTGTACACCAGGATCCTTTTCTACGTAGCTGACGCTGGTAACTGTGCAGGGGCGGATCTAGCAAAGTTTAGCCAGGGGGGCCGATAGGGCATGAACAGGGAAAAGGGGGCGCAAAGACATACTTTTCTTTCTTATTCTCATTTAAAATGTCTAGCTTTTAATAAATCCAAATCTTACACCCAAAGTTTTAATCTGATGTAAAATGTATAGAAGTCCATTACTGTATATAGTAACTGTTAAGTCTAATATACCCTAGTAAGCTATAGTACCTTTTCCTTTGGGAAGGTACCATCTGTGCAGTCTGCACTTCTGTTGAAGAAAGATGTTGAATCTATTTAATTATTCTTGAAAAATAATTGATTTCTGTGCATTTCTTTCACACTGCATCAAAGTTGATTATGTTAATTAAGCATCATGAGGTGGAGGGTGGGTGGTTCCCTATCTTTATTTTTATTAATTTTTTTTGCTGGGAGTTTGCAACCCTATTAGTTAGGTTGCTTACTCTTTAAAATACCAGAATAGGGAGGATGGAGTCGGTTTAAGTTCATTAGATTGATCAGTATTGCTGAACTGTGAAATATTTTAGGTGCAGTGTATTTTTTGCATACAGGGATAACAGAATAGCTTTAGTGTTTTTTGGTTTTTTTTTAACTTGAGTATGAACTTATACAAAAAGCAGCAAGATATTTAAAAAACAGTTTTATTGATTAAAAAACACACTATATCGGATTCATATCGGTATCGGCAGATATCCAAATTTATGATATCGGTATTGGTATTGGACAAAAAAGTGGTATCGTGCCATCTCTAATAATAATAATGACATGGTTTGACCTTTATCTTGCCTTGACTCCAGATGGCTGCTCTCAACAAGATGGCCTTTTTCAGTTCCAAATGACCTTTCAGTATCTTTGCATCGTTGTTATAGTAATATCATAAAGCATATAGTTCATTGTCGATTGTCTAACCATAACAACTACACACCACAGCTATCTGTTCAGTTTGTCAGTCAGTCTGAATCTTGAATGGTAACTTTAGTAGACACAAGCAACTAAGGCAATACATCTGCCGGCTTGTTTTGGCAATCAAGCCTGTTTTAAAAGTAGCCGATTATTAGACTTTTTGGAGCGAGTGAGTCGTACCCACATGTGAGAGGGAGCTGGAGTGCCCTCCTTCACTCAAGCAGCAGACACAATGAACATCTGGATCTCATCCCCCTGTAAGGGAAAGCTAATAATCACATACCTGAGCAATCACTCTTGACTTTTTTTTGGGTTCAGCAATGGCGAGCTCGGAGCTTTAATTATTGCCTCCATTTGTCAGCAGCGTAAAGCTTTCCATAGGTACGGTCCAAACTCTGACATTATATAATATATAATATCCTGGACTCTGGAAGCCAAGCAGGTACATTTCTGAAAGAAGTCTGGCTCTCTTTAAAAATTCTGACACTGTGCAGTTGAGTATCAAATGGAAATTTTTAGGGGAACATGTTGATCACTTCCTTTCTACTGTAGCTTGGTCCGGGTCATGGTTAATATCATAGCCCATTGCTTTTAAAAAAGCAAAACAAAAAACCCCACAGTCCCAACACTCTCTGCATTGCCCTCTAATCTTCACCAGAGCTGCACATTCACTTTAAATCCTTGCTGGTAGTGCAGGCACAGGAAGGAGAACTCTGTTTCCCTTTAAAATATTCCAGCCTCATGATTCATGGATCAGGCCTGTGTGCTTTTTTTTTCCTAACAGAATTTTCACAACTTCTCCTTCACTTGATTTGCCACCCATTTTCACCTGTACTGTTTAGGGAAAGGGAAACACACACAGTAAGTAATAGTGCAGAAAATTAAGGACAGACTTCCTTTTTGGATTTTAAGTTTGGCTGCTATGTGTAACGCCTCATTGCCAGCCAACACAAACTAATTTCATTTTCATTCCCCTTGAAGTGCTAATTCAATAGAAAGCATATTTTAAAGCCTCAAAGGATAGAGACATCTTTTCAGCTGTCAGTACCAAAATTTACAAAGTGCATGATCATAAAAAAAGGACCACTACGTTGGTTGTATTCAGAGTCTGAATGAGATGCTACCCTCAGAAATCCTGCAGCTGAATCTTTGCATTACAGATATACTGGGGCGAGGAGGCTATTATAAGTTGCCATAATGGTCTGATAAATTCACAATAATCACAGGCAAGTCTGCGGTATTAACTCCAGTATTTTTTTTAAATCCTGGCTACAGCCCTGCTTGAGCCACGGCAGTCAACAGGCAGAAAAACAGTATGTTAACACCAACACAGACAGATAATCACACTTTGTTTAACATCCACAACGACACGCGTGGATTTAGATTCAGAGGGCCAGGCGATGCACACACCTTGTCGTGAGGAAAACAGCACATACCCCTGAGCCACTGTGATGATGGCCGTGTTCTCCTGAATTACGGCACGTTTGTGTATCACCTGCTCTATCACAAACTGCTGAATGCACGTTTTATGTCTGTGGCACAGGGACGTGCGTCTCCTGACTGGACGCGATGACAGGCAGGTAATCTGTCACGCTCACACCGTGCAGCAGCAGCGGCTTTTGGATTAGTCTTCTGTTTGCAAAGGCGGCAGGTGCGCCGACGGAGAGTGGATGGTGCTGATGGCCGTGGTGACAAACAGCCAGTCTACCTGGAGCAGCCGTGCTATCTGATGGAACTCGTGGCAGCTGGTGCAACAGTGCAAGGGAAAGAGAGGCGAAAAAATCAAATCACATCTCTGACCCTTGGATAGAATTTGGATGTGTATTATGTGTGTGTGTGTTAAGTTTGAATTGGTCTGGTGACTTATTGTTCTGTTCTCAGTATAGTTGATAATGTAACTGTAGTGTTTTGAGTGATTATCTTGCAAGTTATGTGTGTGTGAAAAAAGTTTTGCACCATTAAATGGCTCAGGGACTCCTCTCTACTCATTAGCATCTCTTATCAGCCCACCCAGCCAACAGCAATCAGTACCGATCAGTTGAGGCAGGAAGAATCAGGGATGAAAGGAAGAGGCCACGGGTAAACTTCCTGTGGAATGCAGTCTTTTCTATAGCGAAGGGTGGAGTGCTTCTTACAGACAGGAGAGGGGAGCATTAACCCTTTTATTTAAAAAAAAAAAATTGTGGTCACAGAACACTAAGCAAGAATACTTCCCTGTGTTAGTAAACAGAGACAGTCGTTTCAAAAGATAAGGCTTTTTTTCAGGGCTGAGGAAATGGTCGTGGTATGTCAAAGCCCTGAGTGAAACAGATAGCATTTAAGTCATTTGTAGCAGTCACGAGTTGGCTGTCAGGCCAGGTGATTTGTTTCAAATGACGTATTTCATCAAGTATTTAAAATAGTCTTCAGTCAGAGTGGGCTGAAGCAGCAGATCTGGGCAATCTATAGCTTAAGCTAAGCTTTAAATCCCAATTCTTCCACAAATGCTCACATTAAGATCCACGGCACTATACGTAGGAGTACGCTATTAATTTTGTGATACTTATAGAAGGGCTTCTTGTTTTCTTACTTCCTCTTCAAGATTTCCTGCTCTTTTGTGTGTGTTACTTTATCCAGTTATTACTGATACGTGACATGACCAGAGGCAGAAACACCCAAAAATCTATAAACTTCATATTATTGATTTAAGCAGGAAAAAAGATTGTGCATGTTTATTGTATGTCTTTAGCTGTTTCTCTGCTCAAAATACAATCAGGGACATTCTCTAGTCTTATATCATTTTTATATAATTGTTTTTTTTTTTATTATTTCCATTTATATTGTCTTATCATTGGGAATTACTGAAAACAGATACTCAGATTTAGAAGCTGCTGACCATCTCAGTGATAACAGATTCAGAGTATAAGGAGATGACCCTGAGATCAGCATCCCTGTGGGGGAAACAAAGTCTCTTCAATCTTAGCTGAGGCAACTTTCTCATATATTAATGTGTGCCTCTGTGTGTTTGTTAATGTTCATCCCAGAAGAATTCGTCTTTAAAAAAAGAAAAAGAGTCTGAAACTCATCACTGCTTAAAATCCAACAAGTCTTCTTTTTCTTTTTTTTATGACTGTAATTTTTTAAAAATATATTTTCAGGTCTAATATTATATATATAATATATATAGGTTTGAGGAAGTGTTTTTTTTTAAACCCTTCTTATTCTTTCTCTTCATCATTTTATCCTTTATGTTGCCTTTGTCCCAGGCCCTGTTTTATGCACAGCACTGTAGTAGCATGGTATGTGATGTCATATGTCACCTTTCAGTGTTTCCTCACTACTCATAAGTTTGTCTTAATTCACCTTTATTGATATTATCATTGTTATTATTATAAGCTCAGCAACACTGAGTCATCAGTGGCTTTGGGGAAAAAAATGCATTTTTATTACCACTTTATCAATATTTGAAATGCTCCTGATTGAATTTCTTTGGCTTTATCATCAAAATATGCGAGCTTCTGCTTAAGTGAATTCCAGCTGCTGTTTAAATGCAAGCGTTGCTATTGTTTTTTATTCGATGACCAAAATAAGGAAAAACAAAAGCACCAAAACAAACCTTTAACGTCAGCAGTGCTGCTTATAACTGAAACCTTTGGCAGTGTGGAGCTCCGATGTAGTTATTTTTTGTGTGGAAAGTTCACACTGGATTTAGACTCCACTTTCTGTAGTAGAAAATAAAATTGCTCGTTCCCTAGAGGGAATGAATCTGATATCCTCCCCACTTTTAAACTAACTCTGGCACAGCGGGCTGCATTCGTCAGATGTACTACAAACCTCTGGTGGTTTGTAGTTTCACACTAATGAGGAGGTCAGCAGAGTCCTTGTGCCTGACCTCGGAGCCCCATGGGGGACACCGAGCGGGACTAACAACAGCGAAATGGATATGAAAGCACTGATACATGAGACAGCGGGGGTTTGCTTTGTGTCATTTCAAGCTGTGCATAAAAATACTGCTACATTTCTAAGTGCTGTTTAAGTTTTAGGTGATTTTTTTATATTGTTGCCTTACGCAATGCTTTCATGGTCCGATTTATCAACTGACAAAAAAGCTACTACAAAATAGAGATCGTCAAGGCAATCAAAAATGAATTCTGTTGAAAAAATTACAAAATCTCCGCCTCTTTGGCTCTAATTTAATGTCCTATCTCGCCCAGTTTCCATACATGTATACGCTTGCACAAACTTGCTCATTTACTGAATCCCGTGGTAGGATTCAGCACAAGATCGTCTGATAAGCTAAATGGAAAAGTGTCCTAAAACAGCTCATGAGAACACGAGAGCCGCCTAAGTGGACTTCTAGTTGGGCTATGATGGCGATTAAAGTAATCTTAACACCAATCAGTTTGCTACTCAGGTTATCTATAACTGCAAGTTTCTAATACATGAAATTCACTGCAGGAGGAAGATTACATGTTTTTTGGTTTTTAGGGATTTTTTTCTGTAGTTTCAAATCTCCTTTTGTGTAAACTTTTTTGCTGCTTGTAAAGAGTGGACAAAACCATTTGCAAAAGTAATGAAAAACAATCAAATGGAAATGAATAACCCACAGGAGCAAGAGTAACAAAATGCGTCATCTCCAGGACTGAAACTGCCGTGAGGTCAGGAGGAACTGGCAAGTGTGTTGTTGTTTGTTGGTTTTGAGCTGAGAGGCAGCAATAGCCCACTTTCTTCTGACCAACTGACATGGACTTGCTATAATTACCTTATATTAATCTTTATATGCATCAATTATAACTGATGTGTACTACTCTACAAGCAATTATCACACTTCACTGCAAAACAAATAAATGTCTGACGGAGCCTATTTTTAATTTTTACTTTAACAATTGTTCATAAACCACCCGCACTAATGCAAAGCAATAATTATACCATCCAATTAGCAACCCGCTGCAATATCAGAGGAGTATATCATTAAATTAAGTAAAACACCTAACCCCATCAGAGAGCAGTATGTAACTGAATGTAGATTTACTCAGAGAAAATGTAAATCACTTCTACTTAACATTAAAGTTTCTCAAGCTGCCTGCTGATTGATTTAGTAACCATCATTAGAGAGATAAATGCTATCATGAGGTAATCCGGAAGTTCATGCAGTAAATCTTTAAACAGCAAAGCTACAAGTACACAGTGTACAGATATGCTAATTTTACTTTGAGTCAGATTTCTTCTCTTCTGTTAAATGCTAGTAACTTCCCCAAAACCTTCAGTCACAGGATCAACAAAATCCTGTTAAGACAGCAAACCAATTACCCTAACCTCTAACTAATTGCATAATAAATAACCAAATAAAGCATGATTGGGATTAATAAGTGCTTGCATAGCTTGTTAATGTTAAAAACTATATTAATGAAAGCCATCTGGTCCAACCATTTAATCCCATTAATTGCAAAGACATTTTCCTCATTCAGTCTGTATTTGTTTAAGTGATCAAAATACACATGTGAAAGTTTCTCATCTTTGAAACGGCGCTGAGTCATGAACCGGGTTCAAGTCATCTCTCACCGGACACTCTTAGCGTACGTGCAGATCATAGTTCTCTCAAAAGGAGGCTCAGTCGAAGCCCACTTTATGCCTGGATGAAGGGAAAGGTTGACAAACATAAGACAAATGACCAGTCACTGTAAAATGAGATGGATGGTGTGAAATGAAGCAGGTATTGAGCGGGTTGTCATACGCATCAGCAATGTTTCCTGAGCCTGCCATCTCATCTCTGGCCTCCAAAATAACACACAGCTTTCTGGCAGGCGAAGCCCTCCAGACTGAAATAACAACTGAGAGCGAGTAGGAGGATAATGCTTTCTCCTGCTTAAAGTCTAGTTTTTTTTATCTGCGCTCCTGGACATTTTTCAAGGGAACCCAGAAATTGTAGATTAAAAAAAAGTAAAGATATATGATATATTTTTAGATTTTCCAAATCAAATAAAACCATACCAATACCACCATTAAAGTGAATATATTTATAATCAGACTTTTACTCACCAACGTCTTTGTGGCAGTTTTAGAAATGCTCCTGTTGCTTACCCAGCTGGACTCCGTTCTACTTCTGCAATTCCAGACATCAAAAAATTAGTCAAAGTTGGAAGGTAAAGTATTTTCATAACCAACACGAGTGTTGGGCTTTAACTATTAAAATAGAACCGAGAGTTCTGCTGAATAAATTAATTATTACAGCTGTTACTTTGGGAAAACTGACAAAATAATATGAAAAAAACTGCTGCAATGATATATTACCTCATATGCCAATGAGATGATGATGATGTTTAATGTTATTCAAGACTGGCACTGTCAGTGCTGTTTAGATTACAGCATTAAGTCCTATAGCCCATATAAGTCCTGAGTTAAGCCTGACGTTTCAGAGTTGCCTTGTTTTGTTACATTGCAGAAAGAAAATGAGAGCAGGAGAGCAATGCAAGGTTTCCTTTTGATTAGCCACGTCAGTAGTTCTGGGTCTTTACAATATACAGCAAAAGTTTTGAGCCACTTCTTGTTTCTTTATATTTTGTTAGGAAAATGACAAGTAGTTGTGCAAATACATACAAACATACATTCAAATACAGTATATAAGGCAAAAATGAGCTTGACAATCAATATTTGATATGGCCACCTTTCCATTTCAGCACAGCCTGCACTCTCATAGACAGCAGTAGTCTTTAGTTCTCCAGGCTTCTTAAGGACATTTAAAGCTCTTCTTCTTTGGATGTTGGCTGCCTTTTGTTTTGTTCTCTATAAAGATGATCTTGCACTGCTTCAGTAATGTTGAGGTCTGGGGAGGTCAGTTAAATGTGATGCTTTCCATATGGTATTGTAGGGTGGATTATAATTGGACAGTACTTTACTGTATTCGTTAAATGAATTCATTTTGACAAGATCTCCAAAACGATTTAATGAATGGCAGCGTCAGCTGGTGAAGCTCGCTGTCGTACCTCTCTCCTGACCTCCTTTGTAAAAATTGATGCCAATTTGAACCAAAAATTTAAAATTCGTCACACCATTAAATCTATTTAAACTGATTTTCAATTCAGTTCGGTAATTTGGCATACTTCAATCCACCATCCACTCTCCGTTTAAGTCATTCAGCCCTGCAAACATACAGTTAGCCAAAACAGGACTTCCAAAGGAGCGATGCACACATAGCATGAGCACTCTTCAAAAGAAGATGACCTTATTGGGGAGATCTGTTGAATGTAAATTAGGCAGGTGTTCACATTTTCTGGGTGGAATCAAGCAACTTTCTTACTGCATCTCATAGATTTTATTTGGACATCTTTTAGTAAGATTGATGACATTACTCTTAAACTGAACACATTAATAAAAGGAGGTCAGACAGAGCAGTCACAGGGTCACAGTAATATCATAAAACAACTTTAAGTGCGTGTCTACTGTCACTGGCATGGTAGTGCCAGCAAATGGAGGAAGTCCTAGGCAAGGAAGGATTATTTATAAACAATTTCCCCCCTGAATTGGTGACATTATGAGATCACCGAGGAGTACAATCATATCTGTCAGGTCACAAATCTAGCATATGTGCCTATAATACCGTCGGAACCATAATATCGTTATATGACATCATATTTTTGCCAAGCAATAGGGATGATGAGTGAACAGGGAGCAAGGCCCCAAAAAGGGACCAACTCTCATCCAAACAACCATAAACTAAGTACTGCACTCAGTTTCCCATGAGTACAAGTGCCAAGTTTGACGTGAATAAGATTAACAATTCCCAAGATAGGGAGGACAGACAGACAGACAGACAGACAGACAGACAGAGATTCCCTGATTTAACAGTGAAATCCATCCAGCTTGGACCTTCATTACTCAGCATAGAGATTGCAGCATTTTAAGAGAAATCTTTGTGCCTTCAGACAAAGTGGTTTAGATTATCAACCGAAACTGTCTAACAAACTGATTGTGTTTTTTTCTTCTAATTAAACCCCATTTTCAGATCTCCGCAACTGCTTTGCTGATGCGACCGATAGAAATGTTGGCCAACACAACCAAACAGGGCTAACGTTTTAATAAACTGCTATTATACTTTGAGTTTCATCCACGAGGAACAAGTACCCATTAGTAAAGTTGTCATAATGTCTTGCAAGTGTCAAAGTTGATTAAATGCCGCCTTATTCACTAAAGGCAGCACAGGGAGGTGGTGACCTGTGGTATTTACTGAGGTTGTATATCCAGTATAATCACTTACTAAACATAGGTAATCGACTATGTTTGAATAACAATAACTTGGCGTATGTTATTGTGGGTATTGTGGGAACCCGATTACCTCAACCCCTGGCACTGCTGTGTGAACCTGAGTCTCTGGAAGCCAGTGTTTGTCTCCATGTTTTAAACTCATTTTCATCAAGAGGACAGATAAGATTGATCCAGAGGAAATATGGAGGAATACTCTCTGGCTTTAAATAAAAGGATTCTGGAAACTTAAAGGATTTTGTTTCTCTCAGCTGACCCAGTTCAATAAATCATTGACTCCAGCTATTAACTACTGTATGAAAGAGGGATGTGTTTGTCTCCTTTAGAAGTCAACAGACGTTGTCAAAGTAAACCACATAGAAGCAATTTTCTCGTGTTTTTCCTGGGCTGTGGTGGATTATAAATCATAGTGCCAGAAGGCCGGGTAAAGTGGTGACAATTTGAAATAACCTCTGTTCCAATAGATCGCTGGTAGTAGCCAGCATCGGGCTGGGAAAGGATTAATGAAGTATGAGATTGGGCTCAGTGCCCTGCACGAAGTCGAGTCACCGCAAAAGTGGAAGCAAAAGAAAGTTCACTTCACCTCAAAGACATAATTTAGCCCACTGTATGTGCTGGCCTCTGACCTAAGGGAGAAAAGAACACCATCACTTCATTAATGTTATTTGCCAGCATAAAACCAAAAATGGTCGGCCTTCGGTTGCTGACAGCATTAAGTACACAGTCAGCATTACTTCTTCCAAAGCTTCTCTGCTATGACAATAGCTCCTATATAGGTCAATTAAATATCCTCAAAACACCATTTACAAATCTAATCAGGAACATCTAATATGTCCTGTAATCCTTCCAATTATCATGACTGAGGAGACTCGGAGTGAGCTGCACTGTGGCTGTGTGCCACTATGTCACTGTCAATGTCATCACAGCCATTAGCGTGATGTAATCCCGAGGAGCTATCAGCTTCTCTCCAGAGATGTGATCATACTTAAATAAATAACCATAACAGACCCAAAGGTGCAAGGCACACTGTCTAAGGTATAATTTATTACTTTCGCACATGTTATACACACCTTTAACAGTAGATAGAAGGATAGAGAGATAGTTGAGACCCGTAACTGTCAGATGGAAGCGTTTGACTTAGCTGTAGTTTTAATCACAAACACAGCAGTCTTCAAATGTGTGTTATGGTTTGAGAGTCATAACCGATCTGGGGAAAGTGAAACACTGATTATCTGTGACAACACAGCTGCTTGCAGAGCTACACTTGTGCAAGAGTGTCATTAGTTCTCATAATATGACTCAGGCTGAAAGTACTTTTTTTAATGTTTGCTTTTCTTGAGCAAATTCTTTCAAATTAGGTAAGAGTATCATGATCTAAATGCATTTCTAGTAGGAATGGTTATATTTTTACATATTTACAAAACAAAATATACATATATACATTTGTTTTCAATTGCAGTTTAAACATGCAGAAACCATACTACAATTACAGTCAGCTGAATGCATCAACTGACTGTAAAAGGTGAAGCTGGCAGGATAATTCCCTTGTTTAAAACAGTTGTCTGTTCAGTTCTTTCAAAGTTTGAGCTAAAATGTCAGCTGCAGACAGATCATTTGGCTTAAAGTCACTTCTGCTCAGTGCCGTTGTCCAATTACAGCTTTCGTTTTGTGTGTAGACTCCCAAAAGAGGAGTCTACAAACAAAATGTGCATCTGATTAACTGTAATATTAGTTTTGCCTCATATACAATTCAGGCAAGGTCACTGACAGAGGTGGCGAAAGTTCAGACATTCTGTAATTAAGTAGAGGTAAAGATACTAGTGTTAAAAAAAATACTCCAGTAAAAGCTTAAGTACTGATTCAACTTCTTTACTCAAGTAAAAGTGAAAAAGTACAGGCTCTGAAATGTACTCAAAGTAAGAAAGTCGCTCTTTGGAGGTCTAAGAAGCTTGGAAAGAAAAGCCCCTGGATTTCTTTAAGTTCTTCTTTGGAGGTCGTTTCTACCAGCTAGTTTTATGCAAAGCTAACTGAAACTTGTTATGTTAATGTAATCATAAAATCATATTAGTTGATGGAAATAAAAACTTTATTTTAGTCTAAATTTGAATTCCAATTTTTTTATTCTCCCCCCCATCCTGTCCGGCAGTGTAGCAATCAAATTGTTGTCTGAAGGCCAAAAAATGCTAAACAAAATTGCTTTCACAAGTGCAGCATTAGGATTTTTTTAAATTTTGAGAACCACAATGGACAAGTCTGAACAGAAAAGAAAGAGAAGAAAGTGAAGTTGGGGAGAAAGTTAACAGAAGTAGAGAAAAATAGAAGAAAAGGAGAGAGAGAGAGAGAAGGGGAGAGAGAGTACAAACAATGTGAATCTGCTTCAACACCTGCTGAGAGGAAAAAAACCAGCAGACAGACCACAGCAACAACTATCATATACATTAATAACAATGACAATACTACTGAACAGCGCACAGTACTAATAATACAAGATATTTTTAGAGGCAGCAGCTGCCCAAGATAGTGTGTGTCTGCGAGTACCTGTGTGCACACCTGTGTGTGGGTGAGCACGCTTGTGTAGGTTTCTCCATGTAAGTGTCTAATAGTGGGTGTGGGGGGCTACAGCCCCACAAGACCTGAAGCAGGCATGGAGGAGACCTGGGCCCCAGATTTTCCTAGGCCCCCCAGAGCATGAGAGCCCCAGGATTATCACTACAGGGACAACTGCAGCCTCCAGATAGAGAAGAGCAGAAGAGAGTCTTGGGGGAGGTCATCCAGCAGCCAGAGTGCAGAAGCCCCAGGGGGCTGTGGCGACCAGCCTGGAGGCTCTGCCAGCAGCTGGCTACA